AGGTTTAAGTAGGTGCAAACAGTCATTTCAACAACCATACAAAAGTAGTTATTGTTATCTTAGTCCATTTGGGCTGCCATAACAAGTTGCCATAGACTGAGTAGCTTTTAAAGAACAGAAATTTATTTCTCAGAGTTCTGGAGGCTAGAAAGTCCAAGAGCAAGGCACTGGCAGATTCAGTGTCTGGTGAATGACTGTTTCCTGGTTCATAGAAGGTGTCTTCTTCCAGTGTCCTCACATGATGGAAGGACCAATTTTATGAGGCTTCTACCCTCATGATCTAATCACCTTCCAAAGGCTCTACCTCCTAATACCATAACATTGGTGATTAGGTTTCAACATATAAATTTGGGGAATACACAAACATTCAGACTGTAGCACTTGTATGATGTTACATCCTGTATTACTGAAGGCAAAGGAAGCTGTTATAATAGATTAACCCCATAATCTTGGCTTAATGAAGTAGTTTATTTCTCAAGCATAAAAAGTACAGTTGGTACAGGGGGTTGGGCTGGGGGGGCCTCTGTTGCCACAGTCATTCAGGACTGCAGGCTGAAGAAGCTCTAAAATCTTCAATATGTGGCTTTCAAGATTACTCTGAGCATGGACTCAGTCAGCAGATGGCAGGAAGGGGTGACATGGAGACAGAAAAAGAGTAACAGAGACTGCTTGCATAGGATATTCCAAAGGGGCCAAGCTTGGAAGTGGCATATGTGGCTTTTCAATCCACATGATTTTCTATTGGCCAGAACTCAGTCATCTGACATCACCTAACTGCAAAGAAGGCTAATAAATGCAGCCTAGTCCAGTGTACAAAAAAGGAAAGGTTTTTTTGAAATGGGCTACTCAGTTTCTGTGACAAATGCCATTTGAAGTCCATCTATTTTCTCTTCCCTACTGACCTTTCTCTACCACAGCTGAGGTACGGAGAAGCCCTTATGACCCTTCTGGCTAGGGCAATGTTTCCCCAGTGATCCCTAGGTTCTAACCTTTATGTTTGTTCTCTTGATTTTTTAAATTCTGCTAATCCCTCTAGTTTCTGAGAAGATTCTGAGGTCAGGCCAATGTTAAGGAGCAGAAGGCAAAAGATGTGAATCTAAATCATGGCCCTGCTGCAGAGCCATTGCTGGGTCCCTAGCATCATATACAAAGACACAGATGTAGGTCTTGAGATGCTCAAGGCCTCAAGCCTGTAGTACCAATATATTAACACTTCCTGCTCGCAATGTCCTTGAAAGGACTGAAGCATTTGTCTGAAATGAACTGCTCCATTGATAATGCATCTACTTTCCCAGAGATGGGAAGAAGACTCATTCTTCAGAGGGCATAAACAGCAAATTCTTTTTTCATCTCCTATGATACAGAGTAGGAGTGCTGAAAATGCCAAGCAGTATGGATTTTTAGAATGATGAGTCACCACTTCTGTTTTTTTCAAGGCAATTATTCATCCAGTCTGAATCTCTTCAAAATGAGCCAGTGAGTCTGTCATATAGATGAAGAGAATGGCCGAGATCCCCAAAATCCAAAAGATTGATTTAGGTCAAATAGTAAAGCTGGGAATGACTTTTAGAAATAGTGCATCTGGTTTAAGAAAAGAATTGAAATTCAGAACTCTTTGAATTTCAAAGAGACTGTTTACCAGTGTAACCCATGGCTTCAACAATCCCCTGGCACCAAAGGTCTGGGTTATTTTTGTGGAAGAGGGAGTCTAGCTTATGCTTTACTTTTTTTCAGGCGGGTACCCAGCTCCTAGAAAATGCCTCTTCAGCTAAAAGTTACAGAGAGAGATTTATTTAACAGACAGTAACACCATAAACATTAAATCTGCAGGTTGTCTAAGAAAACAGATCCCCACAAACCCAATCCTGTAAATACCTCCACTTCTCACAGTTTCCCCAACTGTATTGCACTCCCTACCCTCACCACAACCCTGGTTTTCTGCCTCCAGTTCTCCCTTACCTTGAACCACCATCTTTTGGTTCTAAGGTTATGATCCTAAGCTGTAGCAGTTTCCTCAGCTTCAAGTGCCCAGAAAATGGCTGCTTGTTGCCCTCTGCACAATTTTAATCTTGGCGAGAGAAAAAAATATCCTCTCTGTCACTTATAAAAACTGGGATTGCTTCCATTTTTCAGCTCCATTTGTTAAAGACAGGGTGATAAACCATGGCTTGCTACTGGAGGAAGAGAATAAAACTTCTCTACCCATACTGAGGCAGACCCATTCCCTAGCATGCACACAGGTACGTGCCAAGCCAACCAGCAAAAGATATTGCTGGGCCAGGCACAGTGTTTCACACCTGTAATCCCTGCATTTTCGAGGCCAAGGCTGGAGGACCGCTTGGGCCCAGGAGTTTGAGACCAGCCTGAGCAACATGGTAAACCTGTCTCCGCAAAACATGCATTAGCTGAGCATGATGGCTTGTGCCTGTAGTCACAGCTACTGAGGAGGCTGAAGGGAGAGAAGGATCACTTGAGTTGATCCTCCTGGGATCAGTTGGGATCAACCTTCTGGAAAGCAGAGGTTGCAGTGAGCTGTGATTATACCACTGCATTCTAGCCTGGGCAACAAAGTGAGATACTGTGTCAAAACAAAAAACAAAAAAAGACATTGCTATCTTTTTATCCTTGCATGCACAGATCCTTGCATGGATCTATGAAACCCGGAGCCTGAACCTATTACCTGAAGAATCACTGTGCTCACTGAATTATGAAGGAAGCTGGAATCCTTTACGCTTTTTGTGCCTACAATGTGCTAGGTAGCACAATCCTGCATTCCAGCCTCTGTGCACATCATAGGGGACATTACTCTGCTCAGATAGATTGGCTCATTGCTGCTTTTATTTTTCAATTATCAATGATGAAAAAGAAAATGTGTGCATGAGGACTATGAAAGGTAAATTTAAAAAGAAAGAAGAAAATGTCTTGCAACTAAAGTATTGTACCAAATGTCAACTTTTAATCTTCAGCATCATCTTTTGAAGAGTTTAGCAACATCAAATATTTCCATCTTGTAAGGAGAAATGAATTTAGAAAATGAGTTCACGAAAGACAATTATACAGACATTAAAATTCCAGTTGCATAGTTAACACTTTGCCAAACGGGGTTACATATTTAAGTTATAAGCCCAATTTTGGCATGGTATAATGAAGTGTGGCACACATAGTGCAGGAATGGGGGTAGGAGAAGGTGACATCCTAATACCACGCAGTGCCATTGGCCCTGTGACTGTCAGTTTCTCCTTCCACCTGTTCTACTGCTTCCATAAGGGTTGTGGTGACTCTGGAGCCATAGTTCTCAAACTTTGATGGGGGAAATAATTATCTGAGCAGCTTGTTAAACTGCAGATTCCTATGCCCATCTCCCAGGAACTCTTTCAACAGATTTAGAGTGAGGCCCAGGAATATGCATTTTTAACAAGATCCTCCTGCTTTAGAGGTTGTTAGAGCCAGGATGAGCTGACCAAGGGCCAATCATAGTGCCAATGTTCTGGCTTTTATTCCTGCTTGCCTCAGAGCCCAAAGGCTGCTGATTCTGCTGTCACTTTTACATCTGATCTTATCTCCTGGAAGACCATTGAACCAATCCCTGAGGTCACTTTGTCTCAAGCCCAATTTAGAGAGTTATTCAAATGGGTTCCGTGAAAATGTACTTAAAGCAGTCACCACTTTACTCTTTACACTTTACTATTACTCCTTCAGGGTCATTCTTTTTAAATTTAGCTCATAAAATTAGTCCTGAGTACAGAGTATCTGATATATTGTGATAAAAGAGGTAGGGCTATTTCAATTTCCTCATCTATAAAATGGGAATGATAATACTTAACTCATAGAGTGAAGTGAGGATTATACAAGAAATGTGCATTATGTTCTTAGCATAAGGCCTAGCACCCAGCAAGCAACTAATAAATAACAGCTATTATGATATAATTTTATTACTAAATGTATGAGTTATAGAAAGCAAGCTCTTGCTGAAGTATGAAGAATGGATTGGATGGAGGAAAGAATTCTTATAGAAAGATGTGTTAAAAGGATTGTAGTAATTCAGGGATCAATTGTGAATGTCTAAACCAAAATAGTGGCTATGATGGAAAGGGAAAATGGAATTGAAAAATATTTAGTATAGAGAATCACCTGAATTAGTCACTAATAAGATGCGGGTGGTGAGATAAGGGAGAAGTCTAAGATGACCACTGGAAAATACCAAAGACAGTCACTTATTAATTCAATAAGTGCACCATCTGTACTGGGGCACATTGCGGGTATTCCAGATGCTAGTAACATCAGGTCAGCAATAAATGAGGAGCCCCAAAAACTGCATTCTAACCCATCCCAGGTGATCACACCAGGAAGGGTCTTCTCTCAATAAGGCTGGGAGTGAACCCCAGGGAATGTTGACCATTGAACCTCCTGCCCATCACTTGATGACTTCGACTCTCAACAGGACCCTGGGGAATCACTTTGCATAGGGTATTCACAAGTTCCCAGGACCCTAAGGCATAATCCATTTGGAGAGGATTAAGAAGAATGTCAAGACAATTCAATGGAGAAAGAAGAGTCTTCAGCAAGTGGTTCTGAGATGACTGAACATGCACATGCAAAAGAATAAAGTTGGACCTCTACCTCACACCACATATAAGAATTAACTCCAAATGGATCAAAGACCTACATGTAAGAGGTAATATTATAAAACTCTTAGAAGAAAACTTAGGGGCAAATCTTCATAACCTTGGATTTGGCAATGGGTTCTTAGACGTGACAACAAAATCACAAGGAACAAAAGAAAAAATAGATAAATTGGACTTTATCAAAACTAAACATTTTTCTGCTTCAGAGGATACTGTCAAGAAAGTGAAAAGGCCACCCATAAAATCGGAGGAAATTTTTGCAAATCATATATCTGATAATGAACTTGTATCTGGAATATATAAAGAAATCTTATAATTCAATAATAAAAGATAATACAATTTTTTAATTATAAAATTTTTTATTTTTTTATTGCATTTTGGGTTTTGGGGTACATGTGAAGAACATGTGAGATTGTTGCATAGGTACACACATGGCAGTGTGGTTTGCTGCCTTCCTAATACAATCTTTTAAATGGGTAAAGGATCTGAATAAACATTTCTCCTAAAAGATATCCCAATGACCAATAAGCATATAAAGATGCCCAACCTCATTAGTCATCAAGTAAATGCAAATCAAAACTACAATGAGATACCACTTTACACCTACCAAAAAGACAGATAATAATAAGTGTTGGAGAGGATGTAGAGAGAAATTGGAACCCTCAAACTGTACTATTGGAAATGCAAAATGGTGCAGCCACCTTGGAAAACAATCTGGCAACACCTCAAAAGTTTAAATATAGAGTTATCACATGATCCAGACATTCTACAACTAGAACATACCCAAGAGAATTGCAAGCTTATGTTTACCAAAAACTTGTACACAAATGTTTGTAGCATTATAATTCATAATAGCCAAAAAGTATAAACAAGCCCAGATGTCCATCAACTGATAAATGAGTACATAAAATGTGGTATGCCCATACAATGGAATATTATTCATTCATTAAAAGCAATAAAGTACTGATGCAGGCTATAATGTGCATGACCTTTGAAAACATTATTCTAAGTGAAAGAAGACCATCACAAAGGACCACATAGTATATAATTCCATTTATATTAAATGTCCAGAATAGGCAAATCTATAAAGAGATGGAAAGAAAATTAGTAGTTTCCAAGGGCTGGGGAAAGGGGAAAATTGAGAGCGATTGCCAATGGGTACAGGGTCTCCTTTTGAATGCTGAAGGAGTTCTGGAATTGATTGTAGCAATGGCTGCACAGCTGTATGAAAACATTAACCACCATTGAAATGTACACTTTACGTTAATTGTACGGTATGTGGTTTATATCTCAACAAAGCTGTTATGGAAAAAAGAGGAAGGGAGGCAAGGGGAGGTGAGGGAAGGGAAGATGAGGGAAGCCAGGGGAGGGGAGGGAATTTAGGGAAGGTTAGAAAGATCAGGTAGGTTAGGTCAGAAAAGGTTAGGGAAGGGAGAGGTAAGGAAGCAGGGGAAATTCTATCTTGCTTGCTTCAATATTTGTAACACTCTTGTATAACTAATAACCCAAGTCCCAGCAGTCACTTCACTAGGATCCAGGCTCCCCAGTAACTGCTGTTTACTTGGGCCCATGTGACATAACCTCCCTGGGCCTCAGTGTTCTTATCAGGAAATGAGAAGGTTGACTCACTTATCTTTAAACCACTGACAGCTATTGTCAAAATGCCATGCTGTGAATCAACTTTTCTAAGTCATTGACTCCTTCTAATTCTGTGTACTAAACACTAACTACACTCAAAGCTTAGTTTAAAAATGACCTCATGGGGTAGATGCTCCTTAGCAAAAATACATTGATTCATGTCCCATTTCCCCATGCAGATTTTGCTTTTTGGTATAATAAGAATGGGAAGAATTTCTTAGTCTATACAGTCTACAGAGTGTCTGGGTTTGGGAGGAGCAGAGCACCTGAGAAGAGCTATGTTATTCCTACCCTAACACCTAAGGAAGGTTTTCATCACTAATTTCTCAGCAAACTTTGTCTGTAGAAGTAAACAAAAGCATTAAAATCAAAACATTATTTGCCTTGGATTTTAAAACCACACTTTCTCTTTTGCTTTATCGTGCCTAGCTGAAACCCTGTGGGTTACTCTTTCTTTGGCTGTTAAAAAAAATAATAATCTTTGCTAAATATGATGAGAGCACCCAACTGTAAATTCTAACATTGCCTTTGGGTAAAAAGTTGTTCTCTATTTCACCCTTCCTCATCTTTGAGACAGGAATCATCTTCACCTAGATTTATTTTTTTGACACATAACTTGCTAAGTACTGTTGGAACAAAGAATTAGACCAACTCTCCTGGACTCACAACCCACGCTTGGTGGGTTCACATTTCACCCACTGATTTAGAGAATGGGAAAGTACTTGATGACATGCTTCTGCTGTTTTCTGAGGTGCTTGAAGCATCTGTATACTGAATCACAGGGTCATGGGCTGAGAACCAGAAACAAATGAAGACTCTGGAGACAACTGAAATTTTTTCACAGCAATTTTTGGATGTACTCATGGGAGAATTGTGCAATGAGGGCTTCCGTGGATATATTTAAGTAAATGATAAGGCAAAACTAGAACAAAAGACTATTGCGACAATGTTGTATTGGTGGCCACCAGTAGGCTTACCTGAACTGCTAATATCTTTTATAGAGACCTAGAGAAGACTTTTTTCTATCATATAAAACTCTCAATAAGTGTTTCCAGTGTTTCCCTGCCTCACCCCACACACCATGTTACAGCTCAGATCTTATGTTTTTATTCTTGTTTGAATGTTGTTGTTGTGTCTGTTCAAGTACATCCACCCACCTAGAAGAACCTACCAGGTTCCTCACAACAACCAGAAAGATCATTCAAAAATGCCAATAGGACCACAATATTCCCCTGCTTAAAGCCTTTCAATAACTTCCTATTGATCCCAGAGTAAAGTCCAAACCCCCTTAGCTCACGAGCACAGTATGTTCTAATTTGTGTCTGGCTTCTTTTGCTCAACATTTTATTTATGAGACACATCTATGTTGTTGTACCTGATTGCAGAGCATTCTCATTTCTGTATAGTATTCCACTGCATAAATATACCACAGTATATTTATTCAACCTTCTATTGTCAGGGAGTGTTCGGATCGCTTCTAGTTTGGAGCTGTTATGAAGTGTGAATGTGATCCGTATTGGTGTTTTAACATTCTTTTGTTAGAGTCATTTATTTATTTTGTTGGTAAAATCACTTTTCCCAAGGAATGCCTTCAGCCATGTCCTTAATTCCAAACTAATCTGCACATTCTCTTTTATGTGTTTAGTTATTTAGAGCTGGATCAGTGAGGTCAAAACTGGTATGACAATTATCAAAGAGTTAGTGAGTAAAATCAACCTCCTATGACAGAAATAGTTTACAAGTTGAAGCAAATAAGCACAATTTTCTACCTCAAACATGCTAACGTGCAGTTTCCTGTAATAAACATTCATAGTCTCAGGGTTACAAGTCAACAGTCTTTAGAGTTATTAAGACAGCACTTGCAATATCAGAACCATGCTCTTTGCCCTTTTTTAGTAAACAGTCTTAGAAATTTAACTTTATAACACATATAGAAGTAAAAAATTAGCCTTAAATGTTGTGAAAACTGGTATGTAAATATTTGCTAAACTTCTTTCTTATCTGTCTAAGCAAAGGGCGATGGCTATCCAAGTGTTTTACACTGTCAAAATGTTCATGTAGACATCTTAAAATTTCTCTCTGTTTTCTCACAAACTGCTATTTGAAACTTATATCCTCAGGTTTTAACATCAATGTTGATTGAGGCTGAATCAAAGATACAATTTATTTTATTTTTCACAATGGTATATATGTAAATGCATCTGATAAGAATTACTAAAAGTTTCACTGAATTCAACTGAATTAAGTAATGTTTTAGGAAATGATTCAGAAATAAAGACACCACTTGGTGTTCTGATGGCTCTATCACATTCCTTCTTTTACAAGTTAATATTTTAGAGGTGTGAACTACGAAAAGGTGGTATGACTAGTGATGATTTGACTGTTAAACTGAGCCAAAGCATGACTGAGATCTTGAGCAAGCACCTAATACAAGACATAAAAGAAAGGTATAGACAATAAGAGAAAAATACAAGGAATGTTTCTTTTTGTTGATCTTATAATATTCTGGAAATACAGACCTTTAATTAAAATTTTTTCGGGATCCACTTTTAAAAAGTCAAGTCCAACATTGACTTCAAATAATTTAGCTATTTCAGTGGAAAACCAGGTCAACCTGTTAGGTCAGCTGGGTTAAATAGTGCATAAACAGTCTTTCAAGGCCAGATAAGGAAGATTGTGAAAAGATTCGATATTTGCTTTTTAAGTGTTTTACATTTTCAGAGAAATTAGTTTGTCTACATGTTAGTAATATTTTTTTTTAATTTCAATAGCTTTTGGAGTTTTGGTTACATAGATGAATTGCATAGTGGTGAAGTCTGAGATTTTAGTGTACCTGTCACCAGAATAGTGTACATTGTACCCAATATATAGTTTTTATCCCTCATCCCCCTCCCACCCTTCCTTTCTGAGTCTCCAATATCCACTATACCATTCTGTATGCCTATGTATAGCCAGAGCTTAGCTCCCACTTATAGATGAGAACATTTAGTATTTGACTTATGACTTAGGAATGTTTAACATGTTGAATTAGAGAGGGTAGGCAAGCCATCGGTAATAAGCAAAGCAAGAAAATTAGCAGCATATCTGAGAAGCAATGATAGTTGAAACAGGGAAACTGGGAATATAGGAAGGAACTCTAAGGATAGGAACACATTAAAGCAAATAAGTAAACATTTTTGTAGAGCATATGTGTGGAGGGGAGGCAGGAAACTGTGCCAAGGTACCTGCTCTCAAAAAAAAAAAATCTTATGACAGATAGGTGGAGAGCTAGGGGCCCAGATGGAGCTTGTTGTAGGTGGGGTTCTGCAGATGAAGACTGAAAATTCCTGTGGAAGTGATTTCTTAGTAGATATTCCCAAGCAGGGAATGGGAAGTGGGACTCGGATGGGAAGGAGGCCAAGCAAGGGTGCAGCATCCAGCAAATCCCCATGGAGGGTAACTTGGGCTCCATGCTGAGGGAGTTCTGGGGACATGTGCCAGTCACATCTCAGAGTTTTCTCCATCATGAATACAAGGACTGCAGTGTTTATACTCCTGGACTGTCAGTCATCGGTCAAGGGCCACCCCTAGAGGCACTTCCAACTCTCTCATTGCACAGGCAGAGCAGGTGCCAGCAGCCTAGGGCAGCCCTCCTGCAAGGATCAGCAGGTGTTGCTCTTGAGAGTGAATGCATGTCATGCAGGAAGCAGGTGTGAGCAAAAATACTAAAGGGATCCAAGGGGATAATGGCAGAGTTCTAACAGCATATGCAATGGGCTACAAAGCATTATTATTAAAACTGGGGCAACATCACCAAAATAGATGGAGCAGGCATGATTGAAGAGTGAGAAATGAGGAGAAGAGCAGATACACTGTGGTTCTGTTCTGGCATTCTCCATAGGTCTCTGGGAGACAGGCCAATCAGAACACTTCCCTGGTTTTTGCAACCTGGAGCTGAGTGAGAAAGACCCTTTCCCCTCAGATTGTGGAGTTGTGATATGGTAAGCCTGGAGGTTCCAAGACAGCCACTGTGGATCATTAAGAGCAGGAAGAGGACACCAGAGAGAATGGCAGATGAATGGCCAAAGTGAACATTGAGTGCATGCAAGTCCCTAGTTCTAACTATTCCTCCCTTTTACTGTGGTTTAGATTCAGAGGCCAATGGATCCTCCTCTTCACTTTATTCTACAAATGGTTCCTGAACACCTCCTATATGCCAAGCACTGCTCTAGTGCTGGAGCTGCGGAAGTTAAGAGAATAGATGAAGCCTTCATGGAGCTTCCAGTCTAGTGGGAGAGGCAGCCAATTCACAAATATGGTCATTTGCAATAGGGCTGATGAGAGAGGCCTTTCTGCCAAGGGACATTTGAGCAGAGATCTGAACGAAGCAAGGGTTCAAGCTAGGCAAGGGCCTGGGCAGGAGCTGAGTTTCTGTTGAGTACAACCTAGAGTCTGGAAAATGGCAGAGACTATCTTAAAAACATCATGCTGCATGAGATTGTATCTGAGCAAATTTAATTGTTGCCCCAGTAGTTAAAGGAAGTATTCCTCCTGCGTCCAGTCAACAAGATGGCTAAAAGATAGGGGCCTTCCTTTGTACTTTTCCGAACCGGTCAGGTCGAAGTGTTCAAAGAGCTGTCACTGATAAGGCACAACAGAAACGTGGTGGCCTAGGAAAATTTTTCTGTGGTAATTTAGATAACACTGGAACTTTACTTTCATATTTCAGTCTTTAAGACAAAAAATTACTTTTTCATCTGCTTATGTGCTCTACCATAATGTAAGAGAATATGTTAAAGAATATCTTCTTTTTCTTTTTTCTTTTCTTTAGCTTTGGTTTACATAGGTCTATTGAACATCCTTTGCAGGCAGTAAAATTCACCCTGTTAAGTTGTACAGTTCTATGAATTTTGACATATACAAATAGTTGTATAACCCCCACTACAATCAAGACACAAAACATTTCCATCGCCCTAAGGATTATGTCCTTGAGAAAAACTCATATACTTTTAAATTTTCTCCCTTCATTTAAGAGTTGGGGATGCTAAGACACACAGGCATTAAAGATAAAGTTAATGGTTGAAAACGGAAACAATCTTTGCCTGGAAATTTGAGCTGTAGTGAATAGGCAAACTATTATGTGACAATGTCCACAAAACATATGCTTTTATATTAGTTCAGCTGTTCATTCTAGATACATAAATGGAAAATAGTTAATATTTGAAAATTATAATCCCTTATCTAAAAGTTTGAACTATACAGATAGATAAATTATATGTTTTAGAAATAATTGAACTGCTTCTTGGTAAGCAACTACTGTGGAGTTGAGGTGGGGTGTTCCTTCAGGAATCATCTTTGTTATACTGTATTAAAGATTCTAGCTTTAACATGAGATGTGGATAACTTTGTTCCTTCCATTATCCCTACTCACTCCTGCAGCTTCCATCAGTGACCTTCACTAACTCTCCAGGGATATCTTCCCTTCTGTTTTCAAACATGACAGCTCTCTTCTATCTGAGGAAAAAGTCATTTGATTCTTCTCCTTTAAATCTAGCTTGATTCCCAGTAGATAACATTTTTTGAGTGCCCAACCAATTGCTAATTGCTTTATGGTCACTATCCCACTTTATCTTCACAAACCCCTAGCATGCAGGTAATATTTTACAGAAGAAAAATATAATGACCACATTCATAACGTATCACTGCTATGTAATCCAAGAACATTATCCCTTTTGATTCTCACAGAAAATCCTATATTATCAATGAAGAAACTAAGGCTTAGTGGGGGCGGGAGGGTGTAAGGCATTTGGGCTCCTGGGGCATCTGCCTCATGTTACCTTCACAGCTTGATTGTTCTTGACCTTGTCCTCAGCTGTTTCTCCTTCATTCCCTGTGCCTGGGTCTTTTTACTCTAGGTTTTTTCTTGGTGGTGGGGGGAAAGGGGTGAGCCCACAAATTACAGAAGCCCTCTTAAATTGATTAAATATTAAAAGGTAAATCAATTGTAAGGGTAGAGGGTTATCTCACAGAACCCATGGTAGAATGTAATGTTAGGCTTCTGGTAGGACTGCCCCCAGAGATTAGAAAGCAATCAGGAAGCAGGGAAACCTGACCTGGCCTCTCCTTTGGCTATATGTTCTCATTTAGTTGAACCTGAAATCCTTTTCACATAAGATATCTCTACCATCCAGTAACCAGTGTTCCTTACAGCCTTGCTGCACAAAGTGTAGACCATGGATCAGCAGCATCAGTCCCACCTGGGAGCTTGTTAGAAATGCAGAGTCTCAAGCAACACCCCAGGCCTGCTAATCAGATTTTCCATTTTGACAAGATCTCCAGCTGATTTGTGTGCACATTAGAGTTTTAGAAGTGTGGGTGCTGGCTTAGAGCGCAAGTAGGGAAACACTAATCTATTAGGCTCCCATGGAATCAGAAGATTCAGCTAATGACTTCACGGTTTTTGAACCCCTGAATAAGAACATCAGCAAACTGGTTATTCAGTAACAAGTAAGTAAGTAACAAGTTTGTTACTGAATAACCAGTTTGCTGATGTTCATAATCAGGGGTAACTTGGTACTTAAAATTTTAGATACATTCATCAAGAGGTATCTGCTACACAGGTGAGCTCCATGAAGCAGGGACTTTGTCTGGTTACACCTGTGCTCCTAGCAGCTAAAACAAGGCCTGACATATGGTAGGCATGTGTGTTAGGCCATTGCTATCAAGAAATACCTGAAACTGGGTAGTGTATGAAGAAAAGAGGTTTAACTGGCTTGCAATTCTGCAGGCCGTACAAGCACCATGACACCAGCATCTGCTCAGCTTCTGGGGAGGCCTCAGAGAGCTTTTACTCATGGCAGAAGATGAAGCAGGAACAAGCGCATCACAAGGCAAAAGCAGGAGCAAGAGAGAGAGAGAGTGGGAAGGGGGTGCCACAAACTTTAAAAGACCAGATTCCTACGTGAACTCAGAGTGAGAGCTCACTCATCACCAAGGGGATAGCGCAAACCACTTATGAGGGACCCACCACCATGATCCAAATACCTCCCACCATGCCCCACCTCCAACACCGGGGATTATTAGGTTGGTGCAAAAGTAATTGCTGGTTTTGCCATTACCTTCAATCTCAAATCATGCTGAACTTAGATTTGGGTGTGGACACTTATCCAAGCTATATCAGCACTCAGTAGATGCTTGCTGAAAAATGAAAAAGGAAAGCATAAGAAAAAGGACAAATGGAGGCAATACAGATAGTCACTCATTACCTTAACATTCCAGAGCACTTGACTTTGCTTCAGTGGAGGACACTGTAAACATTTCCTGGATCAAAGTTATACTGGTCAGGGTGGACTAACTACTGAACCAAATAGACCTGAAACTGTACAATGACTCAAGTGCAGGAGAAGTTTATTTCTTGCTCACTTACTAGTCCTCAGCAGGTACATGGATCCACAGGATATCCTCCTGCAGGCACTCAGGACCCAGGCTGATGGAAGTGCTACCACCTTCAACACATGGGTTCCAAGTTTCCCTGGGAGTCATTTCATTTCAGCCAGCTGGAACAGGAAAGGAGATTGAAGGAGCACATGAGAGATTTTTATGGACCAAGCATGAAAGTGGCAGATGGCACATCCTACAGTAGCCAGCCTTCAAGATGGCCCCAATGAATCCTGCCTCCTGGTATTCATGATCACATATAGTCCCCCTCCCACAGCAAATGAGGCTGACCTATGTAACAGATAAGATATTGCAGAAATGACAGTGTGTGACTTCCCAGGCTGAGTCTTAGTCTCTTGAATCACTTGCTTTAAGGGAAGCCAGCTGCCATATCATGAGGACATTCAAGCAACCCCATGGAGAGACCCATACGGCCTCCTTCCCACCAACAGCCATGTGAGTGGGCCATCTTAGGAGTGGAGCCTTCAGGCCTTGGCAAACCTACAAATGACTGTAGTTCCAGCCCACGCCTCAACTGCAGCTTCATAAGAGACTCTGAACCAAACTGACCTAATTAATATGCTCCTAAATGCCTGACCCATAGAAACTATGAGATAATAGAGTTTGTTGCTTTAAACCACGACGTTTCAAGGTACTCTGTTATGCAGCAATAGATAATTAACAGATTTCCGCTTACTTCATTGTAGTCTAGCCCAGAAAGAAGAGGAGAATGTGGATTTTGCTAAGCAGTCAGCAGACTCTTCTACAGGAAGAGACAGAATAGTAACAAGATAACAAAAGCAAGCAGAACTATAAATGAAATCCTGGGGTCAAACCATAGAGCTACTGGACACACTTAGCCTTTCTCTCCTTTTTGTAAAGTTCACCCACCCTAAAGGACCATCTTCAGCTCTACCTCCTTCTTGAAATCTGTGCATGTCAGGCCACATTCCTCTCTCTCGCCTCTGAACTCCTGCAGCACTTCTTGGCTCATTTTCTTCTGTGTACAGCGATAAATGTCACTGGTTCAGAGACAGAAGACATCATTTAGTACTCAATCATGTATTACCTTGTGATAGCTCTTATATCACTGTCTAGGACGATTATTTAAGTTTTCATGTCTGTGTATCTTGTCTTCCCAATTACATTTAAGATCCTGGAAGGCAGAGACTAGTGGAGGTGGATGATATATGATGTGGCCACATTAGTTCAATAATCTGTAAAGTGATTTATTGAAACCACCAAATCTGATCTTAATGGGAGTTGAATTTTAATAGGAATTCAGACCCTTCCCAAGATTACTAAACATATGATCACAACCATATATTCCAAATTCTGTTTGCTGAGCATTAGATCATATCCTTAGCAATGCCTGGCACAAGTATAGTCAGTGGATATTATTTGAGTGTAATTTTAGAAGTAGCTGCAAATGAGAAATTTGATTAAATTTTATGTGAAAGATAGATAATATTTAGAAAAAAAATCACAGTGAAAGTGCTTTTTAATCTAGATTTATTTTGACATAATTTCATCACCTGTAGATTAGCAGACTCTAATCAACTTTATATTTTAACCACCCCTTCTTGGTTTTATAAAGGCAATCATCACATTGCCAGCAAACATTATTTCATTTACCCTCATTAACAATCCCTCCTCATGATATATGTTAGTCATTGAAAATAATTGAAGGGTTTTACGTTTGCCTTCCATTGGTATCTTTGCTTGATATCAAAAGTAATGACTCAAGAGCTGACAAATAGATGTTGCCTTATAATAAATTTATGAAGAGTTTATCAAGCATGTGCACTGTTCTTTGTCAAGCATCTTGTAGCTAAACATAGCAAGCAGACCGTTTAAAGTAACAATACTCACAGTAGAAGCTTTTAAGAATGATCACAAAATGTAGCTCCTTAAAAAGGCCAAGATAAAAACATAATCCTGTGATCAATTACTTCTGCTGACAGATACTTGGGTAACAACTTCGATATTTTCTGTTCTGAAAAAAAAGCTATATTTTTATATCATCTGTTGGATTTCTTTTAAGACCTCTGAAATACCTGAATAATGCACATTGGTTTACCTCATAGAATATGTAGTCTAACTAGCTGTGTAAACCCTTGAAATCCATTGTTTATACTATATATAATGATTGTTCAAGGAACCTCAGGAATTTAGATTTTAAAATGCTAGGCCTTTCAATGTGGAGGAAAAAATATAACTCTGAGCTCTTCTCCAAAAATTAACGTTCTACTCTGACTTGAATCACTACATGTTAAACATGCATTTTTCCTCTTCACTGAATTAAATTATGGAATTGATTTGTTTTACAGATTCCAGAGAAATTGCAATGGCTTTGAGCACTGGGCATACTTACTAAGAATACAAAGATCATTGGTTAAAAGAAAAGGTTCTTTGTGTTAGATCTTCATGTGTTCAGGCCCCAAAGTCCCCGAAGCAATATCAGCTAAGTATGCCACACTCTGATCTTGTAAATAAAACATGACAATCTGAAGGTCAGAGACTGTTTTACCAGGGTGCCCTGACTTCTAAAAGTAGAACCCATGATTAACACATATCTTTGGTACAATTGTGTCCTTTACTCTGATGGGTCAACATAGTTCAATGTATATAATCAGATATCATATAATTCCCTTCCAGAGAATTTTTTTAAATATACCCATTGATTCTTAGCAGTTATAGCTGTTTTAAAAATACTGCAAGTCCCACAGTGTTTGTTCATTTGTTCCTATCTTATAAATGTATCATGATTGCATTAAAAGGTTAATAGAGACTAGAAAGCTGGTTAGACATAATTACTATGAAAACAGATACCATGCAAAATAAAATTAAAATATACTGTTATTATTTATAAGAAACAAAAAATAAACACTGGACTGCTTTCCATACACGCACACACACACACACACAAACACACACATATATAATGCTATTATCATTGATCAAGACAGATTCAGTATCGATCAAACATCAAAATTATTCTTAGTTAGAAAATATACAAATCAAAGACACTAATAGAAGGTTTAAAGAGGAAGAGGTCCCCCCAGACCAGAAGACCAGAAGGGGTGATTAGTGTATTATCAGGGTGACATTGCAGCTTCTGACATTGCAGCTTCATTGCTTTGCAATGAATTCTGGGACAAGTAAGACCCTTAAAGTGTGAAGAACCAGACCACTTACTTTCAAGGATAACAAGAATGTGGGAAGCTGAGGAGACCTCAACTAAGCCCTCAACCAGTTTGGGAGAGACCTCTCAAGAATGTGCTAGCTTTATAAACAAAAGGAAGGCTTTAGGGAAAAAAATATAAAAGAAGTAATACATGGTGTCCCTTAGAAGTGGCCCAGAGGTAGGACTAGTGGTTGATCCATTACCTTGCTGGGCATCTTTCTAACTGGAGAAGAGCCACCAAAGACATTGCTGTGACCCAGTGGCCTCTGGGTGAGCCATCTTCCTCCATCCCAGCCCTGAATCACCCCTCTCCCTGCCAGAACAGCACATTAGCCAATAGCTCTAGAATTTTATGAAGAGAAATGGTTGGTGCTAGGCCCTTCAATGGTACAGTCATAATTTAGAACAACTTCTGAGATTTCTTTAAAATAAATTTTATTGTGTATATTTAAGATAAACACTTTTTAACATAATTGGGGACCACTTAGCTATGGATTCAAATAACCATTTGAAATCACCTAATTCCATGTTACAATTGAACAGCAAAGAGCTTAATTTTTGTATATTGAAATCATTTATTGGAATATATGAAATTGGAGAAGTAAATATAAAGTATTCTGGGCAGACTCAAAATGAAAATAAAATTCCTTTTAAAAAATAAGGGAAAAACAAGAACCATTCAAGGCATTTAACAAAGAACTGTTTAAGAGTTAGAATATTTCATTGTTACAATATTTTTTAAATTCAGGCTATCATGATTATGTTTGTTAGGGTATGCATACAGCTGTCATTTCTGTATTCTGAAATACACTGAACCAATTGACCCATCATATTTTCTGGTGGTGTGCTATCATGGCTGTACTTTGTATCATCACATTGGAGACTGAATCAGTCAATAGAAAAAAGACTTGATTTTTTTTTTCTTTTTTGAGACAGTCTCCTTCTGTCACCCAGGCTGGAGTATAGTGGCCTGATCTCAGCTCACCACAACCTCTGCCTCCTGGGTTCAAGCGATTCTCGTGCCTCAGTTTCCCAAGTAGCTGGGATTACAGGTTCATACCACCATGCCTGGCTAATTTTTGTATTTTTGGTAGAGACGAGGTTTTGCCATGTTGGCCAGGCTGGCATCAAACCAGGTGATATGCCTGCCTTGGCCTCCCAAAGTGCTGGGATTATAGGAATGAGCCACAGCACCCGGCCAAGAGTTGATGTTTCTAATAGTACTTATTTTTTCTTTAAAGAACAAAAATAAAAGAATACGGAATTTAAAAATCAGAGATAGAAGCCTTTCATTTTCATGCGGCTTCATATGCACTGGGTTAAAAATTAATTAATACCCTCTTTATTCAAATATCACATAGACCAGTGCTTTTCAAACTATTATCTTCACAGATCAATAGTTTTATAAAATACAATGAAAATAAATTTTAAGAAAAACATCAAAAAAGCTTACAAAATGCAAGCCCAATTACAAAATGCAGTAATGTCAAATTGCTATAGAAGTTTCCATGTGCTTATTCTCAATCCCTGTACTTAACACAGACCAATTACAGTTTGTGGACTTGGGCTGGTCCAGGGACCACACTTTGAGTAACTGTGGTTGGTATAAGTCACATTCACTGCAACAAGTTCCATAGGTCAAAACCATTTTTTATTTAAACTTTGTTATATCAAATGGTTCCTGAAATAAGAGAGCCATTTGGAAATTGTCACCCCTTTTTCATTAGCCTGTATAATGTCACTGAATGTATGTTCAAAATATGACAAATTATCGTGCACTAAATAATTTCTATAATGTGAAAGCTGCCTTCTCTCATTTTTTCAGTATTTATTTACCCCTTTTCCCATTCTGTTCCTTAAATAGCTTGAGAAGTAGTGAACTTAGCATTTACTGTGTAATTTTTCTTTCAAACTTTATTTACAGAAGTTGCATACTAATTCTTGGTGCGAAATCAGCTGTGCAGATGTGTTCAGTTTAATCTTCATGGTGTTTTTAAAACATTAGACTTTAAATGCCTTTAGGTACAGCCTAGTCAAATGCCCAGCCCCACATATACATGTGTTATCTGGCTGCCCCTCTTCATTTCTCCCCCAGAGAGTCTCACTGTAGTAAGAGGATGTGCTGAAGACCAAATCCATCTGGCTTAGAATTTTTGATCTGCAGCAGATTATGATGATGCTTCCTGTGCACCTAGACAAGTTGCTTAAACACTCTGAGGCTCATTTTCCACATTTGTTAAATGGCAATAATACTTAGATCACAAGATTCTTGGGCAGATTAAATGAGGCAAAGTAAATGCAATGTCTGGCCCTGGGGTGAGTAGTTAAGCACAAAGTATTATTTCCCCTCCATGTCTACCTACCCTACACCCAATTTCCCCTATCCCGGGTCCTCTGCTGCTCTCTGCACCCTTTACATTTTGCCTCTGGTGAGGTTACTGCTTCTCTCTGCTGAAAGGGAGAATAAATAAACTCATCAAAAATATACCTTTACTAAGTAGAGAGGAAAGGCTATGCTAATACTCACAGCTTTGCCACCTGGAAAAAAAGATGAGTCAAAGGGCACTAAGTAAGAAGGAAAGCTCTAAGGGAAAGAGCTGTTCAAAGCAGCTCACTCAGAACACAAATACAGTACAGCTCTTCCCTACTGGACTGGCTGACGAGCATCATTGCCGCAGTTTCAGGAGAGCATTTGACCTCTGTGTTATTTCTAATTCTTAATTGTAAAAGTATTTGCTTGTGTATGAAATATGAAGATTTCCTTGACTTCAGGAAATTCCTTTAATGGAATTTTATGTTTTCTCAGGCTTCTTGTTTATCGTGAAAACCAATCTT